CCACAGACAGAGGGGAACCTCAGTGGCATTTCCAGCCCTGTGCTGCGGGGGTGGGGCAGTTCTAAGCTCCCGTCATGCCGGGCCAAGTGTCAGATCTGTCCCTGTGCGCGCGGCTTCGAAGAAAATCCCTTGGGAATGTCCCTGTATTTCCTGCTCCAACATTTACCTTTGATTCTGAAGAGATAAACACTCAGGGCAAACCACAGACAGAGGGGAACCTCAGTGGCATTTCCAGCCCTGTGCTGCGGGGGTGGGGCAGTTCTAAGCTCCCGTCATGCCGGGCCAAGTGTCAGATCTGTCCCTGTGCGCGCGGCTTCGAAGAAAATCCCTTGGGAATGTCCCTGTATTTCCTGCTCCAACATTTACCTTTGATTCTGAAGAGATAAACACTCAGGGCAAAGGAGCCCAGCAAAACCACCAGGGTCATTCCTAGAGACGCCATCCAGGGATTCACCTTCGGGAAAAAGGGATCTGAAAAACACACGCCCAGAGGCACCCACATTACACAGTGAGCCGGGACCCAGCTCTCACGACTCCGTTGTGTGTAAGGTTCCTCCCAGCTAGCCTACTCGTAATCTGGTCCTGCTTGTAGCAAGGCCACAGCTGGGCAAGGATCAGGCTGGAACCTCCCTCTCTAGCCCCCCGGGGCCTGCCCAGCCCTGCTCTGCTGACGGTGCCTTCTCTGAGGGAACCAGGCCCTGCACCCTCCTTGGCCAGGGCCTCACTGACTCTCTCTGCGGGCAGCTCTTTCTCTATAGGGCTGTCCCCGCAAGCTGCACCCTGCTCGGCTCTTTCAAACCCCTCCCCACAATGGGCCAGGGTTCTGCCCAGGCCCCTCCAGCCTGCACTGACCCTTCCCAGCCAGCGTGGGGCCATCGCCCCCCCACAGAAGGGTATTTTCATATTGGCCAATTATCTCAGGAAACAAAAAGTCATTCCTGGGTGTTAGATTTAATCGTATGACCATGGGAAATCGGGTTTTGTGTCCCTGTTTTGTCCCGTTTACCACACCCAGGAAGTGTTAGGTGAAAGGGTGAGATGACTCTTGATGAAGAAGGAGTAATAATCCAGGGGCACCTTCTCCACTTGCCTCCACATTTGGTACAAGTAAGTGAGCCACCTCGGCAACCAACCGTGGGTAAAATGCTCAAATCTTTCGACTCATTCAGCACCATCCCCAAGAGACACATGCTACTGACCTGCCACCATTAGTTCCAGGATGGCTTCTTCAAGAAAGAGGCCATCTTGAACAAAACAGCTGTACCGCCCTTCATCCGAGAGTCTGACATGGAGAATTTTCAAGGCAACATTCCCGTGGGTTAGACCATCTTTCAAGAGCTCTGTCCTCCCCTGGTATTCTGGCATCTGCTCCCCATACTGGTCCTGTCCATTGCTACAGCGATGGACGAATGGGGAGAGCTCGGACCGGAACCAAGTCACCTCTTTGTTCTCAGCGCTCATCCTGGGGGCCAGGTGACAGGGTAACACGATCTCCTCCCCCACCACGGCCGTGACAGGCCGGTCAGGTCCCACCACTGTAAATTGTGCTGTGGAATGTCCCAGGAGAGAAGAGAGAAAAGCTCAGAGAGAAGATCTTGTCCATTTAGTCAGTGGCACACACAAAACTGGTCCTATTTGCTGTAGTTTGTATTCCCTGGAGCTACTGGGAAGAGACCCAGCACAAGGAGATGCCACCAGCCAATGGGCCTTGCAGACTGGCAGGGGGGAGAACCCTGCCACCTGGAGCCTGTGGGCATGTGGCCACCTCCAGAGCAAGTGTCCGACCCACGGCATCCCTGTGGCACAGCCAGGAGCAAGCTGACGGGATTTCCTTTAACATTCCCCAGTGCCCGGTGCGGAGACAGCACCCTGGAGTGAGGACAACTCAGCTCCCACCTTAGATTTAGTCCCGCAAGAACCCTGGGCCCAGCATTTCTGAGTTCCAAGGACTCTGCCACAAGGAAAATGGAAGTGGAGCCCTTGAGGTTGAGGAGGCCGCTGGGGCTGTGTCTTCCCTGCCAAGTTACTTCGAAATAATAATTAATTCCCCAAATAACTATTTGAAATAAGCCTTTTCCTCTTCCCAAGCAGGTGTTGTTATTTCAAAAAAACAGGCTTGGTTGTGAGGACGCTTGCCTCGTTATTTTGAAATAAGGGGGGTTGTTTTGCAATAACTTCCCAGTGTAGACAGACCCTGGGTAAAGACGTTGGAATGAGGACTCAGATCCTGTCACTAGCCCATTTCACTGGGATAGTACAGAAGCCAGGAGAGTTCCCCACAGTTGCAGGACCATCCCTCCCCCCCACTTAACACAGCAAGCTCAGTGTATGTTTACACACTGTGGGTACTTCTGCACTGCACGCTTATTTCAAAATAGCATGTCTACGCTGCAGAGAAGCCTCAAAACTAGTCGAAGGCAGGCTCCTTTCATGTAGACACACTATCTCAATTTAGAGCCCCAGGAGGTACTGGGGAGGAATAATTTAGAAAGGCCCTGGGGAGGGGCTATTTCGAAAAAGCATCAGTGGAGCATCTACACAGGCCTTATTTCGAAATAGCTATTGCGGAAGAGGTGTTATTCCTCATGGAATGAGGTTTACAGATTTCGGAATAAGCCGCCCATTATTTTGAAACTATTTTGAAAAAAAGGAATGGCTGTGCAGAGGCCCACAATGTTATTTCGAAATACCGGTGCAGTGTAGACGCACCCTGGGAAAAGTTCCATGACTCCGAGTTGTGCATCTTGTTAAGACACTTCCGGGACTTAAATAAACCCTCTAAGAAACAGCAGCCCCAGCGCAGAGTCCTACCTGATTCCATGCTGCGGACATAACAAGTCAGGAAGAAAACAAGAAAACCAGGCAGAGGGGAGCTGGCTCTGGCGCTCTGGCAGATGGAGGGAACCTTCATCTTCCCCGTAACTTCATCTGAACAACAGGAAGGAGAAAACAAAAACTGACCACAGTGAGCAGGACACTGACTAACAAGTCACTGTGAAGTAAATCAGCACCCAGCGCTGTAACATTCAAGGTGTCCACACAGGCAAGGCACTTAGCCCTGGCCTGCACTAGGGCTTTATGTCAAAATAACCCCCCTTAGGTTGAATTTATAGGTGGAACATCCACCCTAACAAATCCCTTCTTTCAAAATAATGGGCCGCTTATTTCGAAATCTGGACTCCTGCTTTCCTTGGGGAATAGCGTTAATTTTGAAATAGCTATTTCAAAATAGCATTAGTGTGGATGCTCCAGTGCCATTATTTCAAAATAACTGCTCCCCAGAGAAATTTGAACTAATTATTCCGCAGGGCTTTCCGGAGCTCTCAGTCGAGGTAGCATGTCCCCATTAACGGAGCCTGCCTTGGACTATTTTTGAGGCTTCCCTGTACAGGGCATCTCTGCTATAGGTCTCCCCAGTATACGTCGGTTCTGCACTAACGTTGTTGACCCTTGTAGGAATTGTTGCGATATACGTCCTCCCATTCCCCACTCTTATATCATGTAGAAGAAAAAGAGACCAATTAGTGCAAATGGAAGTCAACAACAGGGGAAAAATATCCCTGCTTTACGTCGTTTCGCTCTATATCCCCATGATTTGGAACTCATCTTGGGTGTATAGCAGGGATGCCCTGCAGTGGGACACGCTATTTTGATGATGTAAAATTGGGAGTTATTGAGTCGAATTTAGTGATTTTGAAATCATTCCCTAGTGTAGATACGGTCTCTTGGTGCACTAGCTTTGCAGTTGCAGCACTCTGCCACACAGAGCAGCCTGTGGGAAAAGGGAAAAGGGAGGGAAGGTGTACCTGGGAGTGGGAGAAGGGAAGGGACAGCATGATGCTAGGAGAGGAGAGGGGTGGGGCACTGAGGACAAGAGGGAGGAAGAGGAGAGGGGAGAAGTGGGTGCTCAGAGGGGGGGTTGAGAGGAGGGGTGGGCATATGGAAGGCAGGGATTGGAGCAAGTCATGTGTGAGGGCGCAGTGAGGAGAACTGGGGCAGAGGGTGGTGAGAGGGTGGGTGCCAGGGAGAAAGGGGGCAAGGAGGGCAGTCAGGGAATGGGAGGCAACAGGAAGGTGAAGGGATAAAGGAAGGTTCAGGTGCCCAGGGAGTAGAAGGACACTGGAGTGGAGGGATGGGCACCAGAGGACAGAGGCAGGGCAGGTGGGCAGTGAGGTGTTAGGAAGGGGGATGGGGAGGGGCAGCTACAGCTGATCAGATGGGGCTAGAGGAGGAGTGGGCACAGGGGTAAGAGAAGAGCTGGTGCAGGTGAGGGAGCAGGTCCTGAAAGGAATGAGGGGAGTGAGAAAAGCAGGAGCCAGGACAACAGAGGGGTGTGACGGATATGGGGGCAGCAGCAGGCAATATGGTCGCCATAGGTATAGTCTGGTCTTGTATTGTCTGCGGGGGCACTTGAACCCTTTCTACAGTAGGGAGCTCAAAGCCAGTCAAATTGCCCCCAAACTTTTTACCTCACCCCTCTTTGTCCCTCTCCATGCCCCCAAACCACTCCCACCCACAGTCTGGCACTTGAGGTGGCCGCTTCTGTTCACCTCATGGTAAGGCCTGCTCTGCACAGCCCAGCTCCAGCCCCACAAACTGCTTTGCACATGGAAGGCAGAAGGTGAGAAAAGGGGCAGGGGGAGTACTAAAAAGGGGCAGGCACCAAGGGGCAGGGTGAAGGAGAGACAAATGCCAGGGACCAAGTGGAGACAATGAGGAAAAGGGGAGGGGAAAGGGGAGGGGAGGTGTCAGTGGGAATGGGAGTAGGGAGAGGACAGCATGAAGCTAGGAGAGGAGAGGGGAGAGACAATGGGGGCAAGAGAAAGGAAGAGGGGAGGGGAGGAGTGAGTGCCCAGAGAGGAGGGGTTGAAAGGAGGGGTGGGCATGAGGATGGCAGGGGATGGAGCAAGTAATGTGAGAGGGCGCAGAGGGGTGTGAGGAGAACTGGGGCAGAGGGTGGTGAGTGGGTGGGCACCAGGAAGAAAGGGGACAAAGAGGGCAGGGACAGAGAGGTAACAGGAAAGTGCAGGGTAAGGGAAGGTGCAGGTGCCAGGGGATTAAGGGGGTGAAGTAGAAGGACACAGGAGGGGAGAGGCAAGGCAGGTGGGTAGAGGGAGGTGCTAGGTGAAGGAATGGGGGAGGGATAGCTCAGTGGTTGGTGCATTAGCTTGCTAAACTAAAGGTTGTGAGCTCAATCCTAAAGGAGGACATTTAGGGATCTGAGGCAAAATCTGTCAGGGATGGTACTTGGTCCTGCTGTGAAGGCAGGGGACTGGACTCCAGGACCTTTCAAGGTCCCTTCCAGCTCTAGGAGATAGGTATCTCCATTCATTCATTTCACAGGGGGAAGAGAAGGGCTGGGGAGAGTGAGAAGGACAAGAGCTGGGGGGATGAGGGCTATGGGGGAGCAGCAGGTAATATGATCACCAGAGGTATAGTCTGGTCTTGTGTTGTCCGCAGGGGCACTCGAACCCTGTCTACAGTAGGGAGCTCAAAGCCAGTTAAACTACCCCCAAACTTTTTACCTCACCCCTTTCTCCCTGTTTCTCCCTGTCCATGCCCCCAAACCACATTTTGCTTCTAGAATTCATTAACACTGATTTTTCAATGAAATCGATACTAAATGGAAAATAATTAATTTATTCAAATTGAGAACACCTACTCAAGAGAAATACAAATATTTATTCACCACATCCTCTCTCAAAGGAGAAAGGGGAGCAAAATGAAAACTGAAAGAAAGAAAAACCAAAATATTTCCTGTTCCATAATACATGATTCAAACCAAACCAACCATAACATGTAATTTCCCAGCCAACTCTACCAGTTCTGAATCGCTCTCCTCCCATAGGTTTCCTCAGGATATTGCAACGCCAGTGGCTTGTCAGGAAGGAGGAATCGATCCGTTTCACACCGTGTAACACATTTCCCTTTTTCAGTGTAGCCTGGAGTCGCCGTCCCCCC